CTACTACTACTACTACTACTACTACTACTACTGCGACTGCTACTGCTACTATTACTACTACTACTGCTACTACTACCACTACTACTACTACTACTACTACTACTACTACTACTACTACTACTACTACTACTACTACTACTACTACTACTACTACTACTACTACTACTACTACTACTGCGACTGCTACTACTACTACTACTACTACTACTAGTACTTTCCTGTGTAGTGTCACTCTCAATATAAATGCCAAGCCAGGCCAATCCGTTTCAGCAGTGCTACAAGAAGTTGGACAGTGGACATGCATTCTATGATCTCAACGAGCTTCGTAAGTGTCCGTCTCATCCCGGTATGAGGTTATCAGTCCTACCTCCGAGCTCTCGTTGGTCTCTGTCGAGTTTGCTCTCCTATGCGTTATTTGCTGGCCTCCACTGAGTGTTTCATTTGTCAGATGACGAGAGGGTCAAGAAGCTGCCGCTGTCCATCCGTATTCTGTTGGAGTCCGCGGTTCGTAACTGCGACGAGTTCGAAGTGAAGTCGTCTGATGTTGAGAACATTTTAAACTGGTCTGAGACCTCTAAGAATCAGACTGAGATCCCCTTCAAGCCCGCACGAGTCATCCTACAAGATTTCACTGGTGTTCCCGCGGTGGTCGACTTTGCAGCTATGCGTGATGCTATGGATCGTCTTGGTGGTGACCCTGCAAAGATCAATCCTCTGGTACCGGTAGACTTGGTTATCGATCACTCTGTGATGGTGGACTACTCCCGATCCCCGGAGGCTCTCGAGAAAAACCAAGAGTTAGAATTTCAGCGCAACGGTGAACGCTTTGCCTTTCTGAAATGGGGAGCCGAGGCCTTCGACAACTCCCACATCGTACCTCCTGGATCGGGTATTGTGCATCAAGTAAACCTCGAGTACTTGGCTAGAGTAGTTATGAACGCCACTAAGGACGGCGGTGTCCTCTATCCTGATTCCCTTGTTGGCACCGACTCTCATACTACTATGATTGACGGTCTTGGTGTTGCCGGATGGGGTGTTGGTGGAATAGAGGCCGAAGCGGTGATGCTTGGTCAGCCGATCTCTATGGTTTTGCCAGAGGTTGTTGGATTTAGGCTCACTGGTCGACTTCCGGTCACGGCCACAGCTACTGATCTTGTTCTGACCTGTACCAATATGCTGAGGAAGCGAGGAGTTGTTGGTAAATTCGTCGAGTTCCACGGCCCTGGTTGTGCTACTCTGTCGCTTGCTGACAGAGCGACCATTGCTAATATGGCGCCGGAGTATGGTGGAACCATGGGTTTTTTCGGTGTCGATCAGAAGTCTCTGGACTATCTCCTCCAAACTGGTCGTCCTAAGCACGTGGTTGAGTTGATCGAGAAGTACCTCCAAGCTAACGGCCTTTTCCAAGACTACTCTGAAGATCGCGAGTACTCGGGCGAGCTGATGCAGTTGGACCTGTCCACAGTTGTTCCTTGTGTGTCGGGCCCTAAGAGGCCTCATGACCGCGTCGCTGTTACTGATTTGCCAAAGGACTTCACTGATGGTCTCAGCACGCCACCTACTTCTTTCAAAGGTTTCGGTATCCCTAGAGATAAACAGGGTACAGTAATGAGTATCGACTATCACGGCAAGAAGTATGATCTAACTCACGGCTCGGTGGTTCTGGCAGCCATCACGTCTTGCACTAACACCTCTAATCCGGGAGTTATGCTTGGCGCTGGCATGTTAGCCAGGAATGCAGTGAAGAAGGGTTTAAAGGTGGCGCCTTACATCAAGACCTCGCTATCTCCTGGATCTGGTGTAGTCGATGCTTACTTGAAGAAAGCTGATCTTCTCACAGACCTTGAACAACTCGGTTTCTATACCGCAGGGTTCGGTTGCATGACGTGCATTGGTAATTCTGGCGACTTGGACTCTGAGGTCACCCAAGCTATCACTGAAGGAGATCTGGTGGTTGCCGCTGTGCTGTCGGGGAATAGGAACTTCGAGGGCCGTGTGCATCCCTTGACAAGGGGGAACTATCTTGCGTCTCCACCCCTTGTTGTTGCCTATGCTTTGGCTGGTCGTGTCACCATCGACTTCGAGAAGGATCCCCTAGGCGCTGATCCTGAGGGCAAGCCGGTTTTCCTCCGTGACATTTGGCCCTCTTCTGATGAGGTTGCTGCTGTCGAGAGGAGTTGTGTGTTGCCGGAGATGTTCACTGAGAATTATAAGAAGGTCTTGCATGCTAACAAGAGGTGGACTCAGTTGGCAGCTCCGTCTGGAAAGTTGTTTGCTTGGGCTGAAGGATCGACGTACATCACGAATCCTCCGTTTTTCAAGACTGTAATTACTGCTAGCAGTGACTTGGGTGAATATTTGTTCTTGTTTTCAGACCGAGATCGATCCAGCTCCAATAGAGTCTATCGAAAATGCCTACTGTCTACTCAATGTTGGCGACTCTATCACGACCGATCACATATCTCCCGCAGGGAAAATAACTGCGAATTCTCCTGCTGTAAGTTGCTGTGTTGGTATCCTCTGTGTCGTGATTTCCTATTTATTCAGGGTCGCTATCTTATGGAGAACGGTGTACAGCCGCCCGACTTCAACTCCTACGGTTCTCGTCGTGGCAACTATTTGGTTCTTGCTCGTGGCACTTTCGCTAACATTCGTCTCATCAACAAGTTGATGGATGGTGAGGTTGGGCCGAAGACGGAATTTGTACCCACTGGCGAGAAGATGTTCGTATATGACGCTGCTGAGAAGTATATGAAGGAGGGTTATTCGCTTATCATCCTCGCGGGTGCTGAGTATGGCAGTGGCTCCAGTCGAGATTGGGCTGCGAAGGGTCCGGCTTTGCAAGGCGTTAGAGCTGTTATTGCCAAGAGCTATGAGAGAATTCACAGGTGAGGACAATACTTAGTCTAAATGGTTAGCGATGAGTAACTGAGATGTATTTTCTTTCAGGTCGAATCTGGTTGGCATGGGTATCTTGCCACTCCAGTTCCCGCAAGGTGTTGATGCTGATTCCTTGGGACTAGATGGTCGTGAGCAATTCTCGATCGATCTGAATCATGGTGATCTGTCTGTGGGGCAGAAGATTACTGTGCGAACTACTTCCTCTAAGACGCCTTCTTTCGATGCTATTGTCCGTCTTGACACCGAAGTTGAGCTGACGTACTTCAAGCATGGTGGCATTCTGCAGTATGTGCTTCGCAGGCTTGCAGCGTAGAAGTACTTATCTCTGAACACGTCGAGTGGTTGCCTTCGCCGTTTACGGTGAAGGCATGCATATCGCTGCATCCATGGTGATGTCCATAGTTGGATGGGTTTTTATGTTTCGTGTCGCTTGTTGGTGGAAACGCCTTCAATACATTTCAGTCTCTCAGTAGTTTTTTTTTCAGATTTCACTCGGTAGTGTTCTGGTTTGTAACACACTCAGATTGAGATTTCCGTTCATTGGGATTTGACAGAGCTTCTGCAGTTTTTATGAAGCTGACAATGACCGACTATAAGGTGGCTGATATCGGCGAAGCTGAATTTGGTCGTAAGGAGATTACTCTCGCTGAAGTCGAGATGCCTGGTTTGATGGCTAGCCGCAAGGAGTTTGGTCCCAGCCAGCCGTTGAAGGGTGCTAATATCACGGGTTCTCTTCATATGACTGTTCAAACAGCTGTACTCATCGAGACTTTAAAGGAGCTTGGTGCCAATATACGTTGGTGTAGCTGCAATATCTACTCCACTCAGGATCATGCTGCGGCTGCTATTGCTAAAGCTGGGTCTGCCAATGTCTACGCTTGGAAGGGAGAGACTCTCGAAGAGTATTGGTGGTGTACTGAGCAGGCTTTGACTTGGCCCCATGCTGATGGTCCTGATCTCATTGTTGATGATGGTGGTGATGCTACTTTGTTGATCCACGAGGGTGTCAAGGCTGAGAAGGCTTATAAGGAGAGCAAGGTCATTCCTAATCCTGACGCCGAGGGCAATGCCGAGTTTAAATGTGTGTTGACAATCCTCAAGCAGGTATTGAACGCGGAGAGCTGGAC